CCCCCCTCCCCCCCTCCCGCCCCCCCCCCCCCCCCCCCATCCCCTTGCCTCGCCTCCGACTGCCTGCAACCACAGCTTGCCGCCGCTGCTTGCAACCACCGCCCGCTGCTCGCTGCCCCTTGCTGGTGCAGCCAGCCTTCTGCTGCCTAGCACTCGCCTTCTAAATAAATTGTTATGTTATTTTCAATCTACTTCAAATAAAAAAAAAATAAAAAAATAAATAAATAAAGTCATGTGTTTATCTTACAAGAAACCAAATAGCCATAAAATATTTCAAATATATTGTAGTAAGAATACTATGCAAATTTTTTACGTTTTATTTTATTTTCAGCAAACCAAACAGCCCCTAAAGTAACTAAAATACATTATAAGACTAGCACTCTGTCAACCAAACAGCCCGTTGGAGAAATTTTGATACTTAGCACCTTATGTATCTCACACACCTTATCACACCTAAGCTTTCATATTTACATTCATATCAGAATTTTGAGCTATGTATGTAAATGCCCCATTAATTTAATTTAGAATCCGCATTTAATTACTGCTGCAGATTTAATGTAATCAGTTAATATATTTGTAAATCGTTGTTAATATTCTCAGTATGTTCAGTCCAAGCTTTATGTTGAGAAATCAACTAATACATGAGACCATTTTAGTCCCAGATTTTATAAAAGTGTTAATTTAGTCCCCAAATTATTTTATTGGAGGCTAAAATAGTCTTTATTAGGGACTACTTTAATTCATATTTAAAAAATCTGAGAATTAAATTGACACTTTTATAAACCCAGGAGTGAAAATGACCTCCTACAAAGAGTCAAAGGATTGTTTTGATGTTTTTTCAATATTTTAATATTAGTTATGTTACTACATCGGAATCATGTGATATTTTATTTATGCTTAGCAAGTTATATAGCCTTTTATTTTCTACTTTTTTTAGACTTTAATGTTATTTTTCTTACTTATCTTTGCAGAGTGGAAAGTCTTGTTTGGGTGAAATTATCTACCGTTACATAACAGCTGAAAAATTTTCAGCAGAATGTCTTCTGGACTGCTTAGATCTGTCGTCCGAGCACCATTCTCTTGACATAGCTAACAGAATTGAGGCCGCCACGCATGTTTGGAGTCTCAAAAATCAGAAAAGAAATTCTCAGCATTCCAAGGGGAAAAAATCATGGGGAGGGAAGGTGAAAGGATTCGTTACTGCTACAGAGAGAAGCCAGCTCCTGGCACAGAGAGCAGAAGGCCTTCTCAAGAGCTTAAAACTCCGGTACCCGGGCCTTCCTCAAACTCTCTTGGATATGAACAAGATCCAATACAATAAGGTTATTTCAGCTAACCCAATCTCTCTCTCTCTTAAATTTGAGGGGCATTTATGCATATTCCACCCTATTCCTATGTATTTACATATCTAACACCTAAACTTTGCTTTTTAAAAATTTTGTGCCAACTATATCCATCATATCATATAAAAAATACCACTGTTTGACATTTAAAATGTGAAATATGCATTTTCATGCAAAGTTATGGTGACATATATGTGAATACCATTTTTTCGGTTTTCCTCTCTTGCTCTTTCTCTTTTCCATTAATTTTTGGGTGATTTATGTATATACCACCCAATTCCTATGTATTTATATATCTAACATCTAAACTGTGCTTTTTCAACTTATGACAATCAAATAATTTTTAGAAGTGAAACACACTTTCATGCATAGGGAAGATGGCATATAGGTAAAAAAGATGAAGTTTAGGTGTTAGATTTGAGAATTGAGTGGTATATATTTAAATCTTTCTAATTTTCATTTGAATGTATTGCTTGCTCCTTATTCTTTATAGTTGCATTGTTATGTTGCAAGCTAGATAATCATTACCATACTTTATGGTAAAGGGGCATTTACTTCATACCACACAATTTTATGAATTTACATATCTAAGACTTAAAACATTCATATTTACATGCACACCATTCAAAATTTTAATATCACATGAAAATGCGACCAAGTACCTTTCCAAAAAGTGAAATAGATCTATTCATGCATAAGCCTATGACACTAAGATATTAGATATGTAAATACATAGAAATTGTGGTTTGTATGTAAAATTCTCCAAGGTAAAATGTGAAACCTAGCGTTGCCTCTACCCCATCTATATGATACATTCCTTTAACGCAGGATGTGGGCCAGTCCATTCTCGAAAGCTACTCCCGAGTCATGGAGAGCTTGGCATTCAATATAATGGCGAGGATCGACGACCTGATCTTCGTTGACGATTCAACCAAGAAATTCATCGGCTCCGACGAACACGCCATGTTCAACAGAGGCGGCCGACTCGGTGGATTACCGATTCAGAAACGGATCTCGCCCAGCCCATTCTCGATCCAAAGCACCCCTTATGCCTCCCCATTTTCCACACCATTTTGTTCCTCCACTCCAATCAATGGAAGCCCCAGAAGAACAAGATGGACCAAACCTGCTTCTGAAGATGTAGATAGAATTTGGTCTTATGCTGGAAATCTGGGTGCCAGAAAAGATATGGCATCTGCTCCTGAAAGAGACTGAATTTTAATGAAGTTCACTACTGAGGGTCACTGAAGAGGTAATTTGATAGAATATTATATTTTTATTTTCTTGCATTATATTGATAAATATAATTAATTAGTTAGTTAATATTGATTAGTAGTCTTGTATTCTATAAATAGCTCGATTTGAAGCACATTGAGGTTCTCAATCTTAGTTTCTTGTCTCTATTTCTCTTCCAGCCAATTTCTAGAGTTGTCGGCGTTCTCAAATTGTCGATTATCAAGGTCTGAGAAACAATATTGTATAAATTGATGGGCTATTATTATAGAATGCAAGGCTGCTAATCATTATTAACTAACTGATTAATTATGTTTGTTAATCAAATACAAGAACTAACAAATATGATATTCTATCATAGTTTTATATAATACCCCTTTTTAGTAATCCTTGCTCTCATGTTAATCAATCAGTTGTTTTGATGTAGTGAGCTCTATGTTCTACGTATTGTTGCAGCAGCTGTGGGCTGTATGCTTAGTCTTCTTAATTGTCAGGTAATGTGGTTTCAGTGAAATGCTTCATAGTGCTTTTCTATTGATATTTGGATAGTAATATTATGTAGATATTAATGTCATTTAGATAGTGTTTTTTTTTTAATTTTTTTTAGATTGTTTTATTATTTATCAAATGCTGTGTTTAGTATAATTAGGGGTGTAAACGAGTCGAACACGAGGTAGCCCAGACTCAGCTCGCTCGGGTTCGGCTCGTTAAAAAATACCACTGTTTGTGTTCGACTCGTTTATATTTTGAACACAAAAAGTGTCTATGTATTCGACTCATTTGTTTAGCGAGTCGAACACGAGCTGTTCGCGAACAAAGAATCGTTTTGGCAACCATAATCATGCAACCGTAAGATGGTAGGTGTTGGGGCAAGATTTAAATCTTATTATTTATGTTAAAATGTCACTTAAATACAATTTAATATATTTTTGTTCTATTTTTTATTTAATAATTTTAATGGATTATAAATCTTTGTAGCCAGCCTTGTGTAGTCAATTAAATTTTTTAGAAATACTAATCATAAATAACTAAATAAATTATTATATTCATGAGTAGTATTTGGAGCCAATACGAGCTAAATATAAATGAACAAATCTTTGTTCCTTTTCGGCTTGTTAATATATCGAGCAAAAGAAAGGTGTTCGTGTTCGGCTCGTTAACTTAGCTAATGAAGTGAACACGAATTTTTTCACGAAAAACGAGCCGAACAAAGAGTAGTTTTGAAAGCCCTAAGTATCATATTACATACTTAAATTATGATTATTTAATATATTCTTATTATCTGTCAAATTATTGTATTTGTTTGACATCTAATTGTAATTAAATTATCGCAGGAATATTATTTATAAATTGTTATTTAAATAAGGAAAAAATTAGCTTAGAATTTTATGTATTTATTTTTTTAATCCCTGAAATTCAACATTTACATTAATAACACTCAAATATATATATTTTTTCCTATAACAATTAAATATTTAATATCACGTTAGAAAGATCAACCAACTTTTTAGACGTCAAATGAACCCCTTTTTTGCATGGGTTTATTATACCAAGAAGTCATAAATGTAATTACTAAATTTTAGGTGTTAGATATATAAATTCATCAGGGTTGGGGTATTTTTGTAAACATCACTTTTTTTTAACAGTGCGTTGAGTCTGTTTGAGGCAACTGCAACAGTTAAGCTTGGTGCGATGATTATTTTAATTTTTTATTTTTATTTTTTGAAAAGCCAGACCCGCAACTAAATAGATGAGATGTGAGAATGTTATTTTCAGCGTTTTCAAAACGCACAAGCTATAGCTTATCAAAACAGATCAGGAGCATTTTTCAAAACGCCACCGCAACAAATAAGCTGTCTGAAAGGGGCTCTAAATCAAGCCTTAGATAATTTTTTGAAATATGGAATTTCAAAAAAATGGATTAAAAAGGGATATTTACATAGAGACCTCCCAATTCCTTTTGTATTTACATAACTACTAACTTTATGTTTTAGATAATTAGATGCAGAGCACCAAAAATAGTGCTTTTTATAAATCAAACAACCAATTGAAGTTTTGATGTTAAAACGTAAATAGATAGGAATTGAGTAAATATGCTTGTAAATCTACCCTTTCAAAATTAGCGTTTTTACTTAATAGCCATCCAAAATTTTAAATATAATGAATTAGAGACCTAAACTAAAAATTTTGCATTTCAATCCCACAAAAAATTAAAAATGCAAGCAGCATCCATACACAAATATTTATAAGTTTTTGATTTTTTTTTTTTTTTTTTTGTGCATATTTGACATCCCCTAAATGCTATACTCACAAAGCTAAGAGCAGATCATCATCATCATCATCATCATCATCATCATCATCGAAGCCTCAACGTCTAAACCCTAAACCTCCCCACCGCCCACCGTCGCTGATCGGAAAACGCAGGACTACCTTCCCTCCCTTCGCACAGATGGGCAAGCTTCCTCCGTCAATGCGATCGGCTCCTCTCCCGCTCTTCATGCTCAAACCCCGACTCTCTCCTTCTCCCAATCCACCGCAGTCCTCGCCGGCCCCGGTTACCCCTAAACCACGACGACCTCAACTCTACAAAAGCCCCGCCAAGAAGAACAAATTGACCAAGAAGAAGATCGATTCAGCCCTCCCAGTTCCCTCTCCGACCCCATTCTTTCGTTCTCCCTCCCTCTCCGAAGCCACCGCTTTCCTCGATTCCATCGCCGACTCCCCCTCCTCCGCCGACCCCCACC